GGGGGGGGGGGAGTTTGAGGTGTGGAAAGGACTGAAGTCCAATCAGCTTCCATATGCAAAAGACCTGGCAGGCCATGGAGGAACCATTGGGAACCTGCCCTATGTAATGGAGCCAGGGACATGATCTGAGGCCACCTGGAAGCTTGACACTTTAGAGCTAACCTCAAAACCATGATTTATGGCTTGGAGGTTAGTACTATGCATAGATGCTTGGTATGAATATAATAAAAAACAACAGCAACAGAGCAACTTTGAAATGCAAGAGGGAAGTGGCGTGCAATAGAGAGGAGAACAATATGAGCTTTTGCCAATTTCCCAATCTTCCAAGCTTGGAGAGTCATCATAGCTGACTCATGGTGGTTTGTTCTTGCTGAAAAAATGCACTAATTGGACTCCCTCAAAGTGGCAGTTGTTTAGAGTAAACATTGCTTTGTGTAGCAGAAAATTTGTGCTTTACATGCTTTCTAAGTGTATTAAATGGCTTTATTGTAAGTTCGTTTGTAGGACAAAAAAATGAGATAGGTCCTTCTTTTTTCACTGGTAATATATTTTGGTGTCAAGGCTAGGGATAAATTTCAAGTTCTCTGTTGGCCACCATGGAAAGGGGGCAGATATGAGAGGGAGAATGCACGCTTTGTGAAAACAAAAACAGCTGCATAAACATAATGCATTTTTTGGAGTCTCTCTTGATATAACTTCTTTTGGGCTATTTTAAAAATTATTCCATGGCAGAATTCCCATGGGAAGTGTTGTGTTGGAGCTAGGAGCTCACTTGGGAAGGGTTTTAATACTGGAATATGGAAAAGGTTGCTGAGCAGTGAGCTGGCCAGTGATCTGACATTCTGCTCTTGCCTATTTCTCGAAAAGGTGATTTTCAGTTCTGACAACCTATTTCTTCAGGGAAAAGCATTCTTGTGGAACGGATCCTAGATTTAAATGGTAAATTGTCCTCTTCCTGGTTGCTGATGTGGAGTTGCTACCAGTGTGCCACATTCATCAGCATATTAGTGAATGCTCTCCTGTGAAGTTCCTGAGTTTAGTGAAAATATGTAAGGACATTCTGGAATGCTTGAGTGTGGCAGAAGTCAAAGGCCTCTCTCCAGTTTCTGAGGTCAAGAGTGTTATAGTGGGTGCATGGCTGAATAATTTTTAATGGAAACTGCTTCCCTATAGTAGGACAGTTATAAAGCAAGGAGAACTACGCATTATGGGGTTATCCATTATTTTCCACCTCTGCTTTCCACGCAAATAAAAGAGAATTCTTGGTCTGCCCAAGGGGGAGACTAACTCTTCAACTGTCTACTTATTTTTCTTACAAAAGACCCTAGGTTGTATAAATCCCAGGTTTTCCCCCACCCATACTGTTAAGAAATAAGTTTGATTTGAAAAAGAAACCCATGGGCAGGAGTGAGGGGTGGAGCTGGGGGAACATTTCTTAGCATATGCACGGGCACAGGAAGGGTTAAAGAGACTTGGTTCATCTGCAGATTCTTTCCTACAGTTATCTCCTTTCACTTTTGTTATTGCTGCAAGTATGGGTTTGGGAATGTGAGTTCACTGTGCAGTTTCTCTCTAAGCTATGGGATGAAAGTGGAGGGTCTTAAAATATATTTGAAGATCCAGCATATCACCAGTTATTGGGGCTACAAGGGAACACACCTTATGTTAACGTTCCAGCTTGGTTAGATGCTTAAATATCTGACTCATTTTGAAAAAAAAAAAAATTCACACTCCCCCCCCCCCCCCGCTGTGATTTATCATTAGTTTGCTCTGTAGCAGCAAAGTAAGATTTAATCTGATGTAACCTGCATATTTTAAGAAGTAGTTTATGGTTTTGGTTTTACCAGTGGGGACCCACAGTATTTGTGGGGGAATCTCTGTCCCCTTCTTAATTTGCTTCTCCTCCACTGCTGGGCCACCCCCCCACCCCCCAATCTCAACTGGGACTGGGACAGCTTGCGGCCTCCGCTGCCAGGTCCACTGCAAGCTTCTCCCCCCCCCCCTCTGTCACTATTGCTGTCACTGGGGCCAGGGCTGTTCCCAACAAAACCTCATCATCACTGTTGCTGTGAGGCTCAGCATGACTTGCAGCCTCCATCACTGCACCCACTGCAGCTTCTTCCCCTGTCACTGTTTCTGGAGCCGCTGTAGCTCTCAGCACCCCCTGCCACTATTGCCACTAGCAGTTCTGGCCAGGAACAGCAGTTCTGGGCCTTTTGCAGCTCCCAGACTTTGTCTATGGGCCCACCATGGCTTCTTCCACCCCTTGTCTCCTCTAGTGCAGGCGAGCCCAGCATGGCTCTCGTCCTCTGCTGTTGGGCCTGCTGATGCTCCTCTGCAGCCAACATTGTCATTGCTGCCTGGAGGTGGAGGTATGTGCATTGTCTGCCTGTGCTCAGACAACGCTTTTGTTTGGGTGTGTGTGAATTAAATCCCCCAATGTATTTTTAACATTTACAGATTTTTCTGCAGACCTGGAAAGTCCCCCAGGTTTGCAGAATAATATTGTTTTAGTTAAATGCAAGCCTGTTCCATTGTTGTTGTCCCAGGTCAGTTCTTAATCCTTGTGTCCAGCATAATTCCTTAAAATACTGGGGGAATAAATAGTATACACCACAGTGAATTTCGCAAGCGCATTGCATTAAATGGCAGTTAATTTAAGATTAGTACAGTTGATACAGCGCATTGCTGCTTCCTTAAAATACCCTAGATTATAACATCATGTTCTCAGCAGAGCTGTTGGAGTTTGCCAAAAAAAAAAAAGTAGTAGTAGTAAGGCCAGACTCCTTCATAAAGTGTTAAATTGCTGTTTCTCTTATCTGGGCCAGTTCACATGAGCAGCTTTTCTGCCAAGTAGTGACTTTCCTCCACTATAACTTTGTGATGAAATCCACATAAAACTTGGCCTCATGGAGAGATCCCTCATTTATTGAGCTCCTTGCTTACTCATGCCTTGATACTTGGATTTTTGAGACCTGCCTGAAAGTTTGGGTGGAAGAGCCAACCTTTATTTATTTACTTATTTACGTATTTACTTTCTTCACTTATACCCCGCCGTCCTCCCCAGTGGGGACCCCAAGTGACTTACTTCAATTTCCATTTTATCCTCACAACTACTCTGCGAGGTAGGTTCGGGTGAGTGTGTGTGACTGGCCCAAGGTCACCCAGTAGGCCTTCATGGTGCAGTAGGGATTCAAAGCTGTGTCTCCCAGATCCTAGTTTGACACTCTAATCAGTACAGCATGCTGTCTGGAAAAACAGGACATAACCAAGTCGCTGTCAAAAAGGTGATGAGGAAAGTGGTTTGTATTTGTTTGTGCTATTAATTTGTACCCCGCCTTTCCTCCCCAGTGGCGAACCCAAAGCGGCTCTTTCAATATACCTTGAATACTGAGTTTTCTTTTTGAAAAAGCAATGTGTGGTTGTGTTAATTTGTTTTGCTGCTGAGTTGCAGTAAACTCATGGCCAATGTTCCCCCTAAGCTGTGGAATGTTGTGAGCAAGAATTCTACTTTGTGAGCTCCTGGCATTAAAGTTGTGAGCAAGCTTTTTGGCTACTGCATAAATCAGTTTGCTCTGGAGCCATCCTCCCTGAGCTAAGACAAAAATGTGTGAGCCGGAGGCTAAAAAACTGTGAGCTAGCTCACACTAACTCAGCTTAGAGGGAACACTGCTCATGGCAAACCCTATAGGCCAGAGGTGTCAAACTTATTTGTTACAAGGGCTGGATCTGACATTAATGTCACTTTGTTGGGCTGGGCCATGTATGCCACAAAATATAACACAAAGTACTAGAGATATAAACTTTATAAACATCATTTCAGGTGCCGAATGGCAATAGCAGGTGTGATTGGATTAGGTGTGATATGCAGAGGCATAGTGAAATCAGCATTGGTAATGAGACAGGAAACCTGGGTCTCAATTTGGTACAGGAGGATTCAGTCCAGGAGGATGCAAGGAATAAATGGAAATAAGTCTAAAAAAGTGAGCAGTGGCTCACAAAAGCACATACCCTACCACATTTTTGTTAGTCTTTAAAGGTGCTACTTGACTTTTACTCTTTGTACTACTATTAGAAACCAAAATATTAAAAAACCAGTGGGGGGACATTTTAACCTTCCAGGGCGTTCAGTTGCTGACCTCAGAGTAGCAATACTCCTCCAAAGGAACTTCAAAGACAGACTAGAATAGAGAGGAGGAGGAGTGTTTGCACTCAAAAGCTTATACCTGAAATAAAACATTGGTGGTCTTTTAAAAAGTGCTACAAGATGCCATTTCCCCCCCCTCTCTCTGGCTCTTTCCTTCCCCCAGCCTCCCCAGAGGAGCAGGGGGGAGGAGCCCTCAGCCAATCGAGGGAAGCCTTTCTTTCTCTCCTCCGAAGCAGGAAATAGGAGAGACTGGCCAAAAGGAACTGCAGTGTAAGAAACAGGAAGCAGCACAGAATTAGTTGCTCTCAGGCCCGATTGGAGCCCTGCGTTGGCCGAATCCGGCCCTTGGCCTATATGTTTGACAGCACTGCTATAGGATTTTCAAGGCAAGACATGTTCAGAGGTGGTTTGCCATTGCTTGCCTCTGCATAGCGACTTTGGTATTCCCACCCAAATAGTAGCCAAGGCCAACCCTGCTTACCTTCTGAGATCTGATGAGATTGGGCTAGCCTGGGCTACCCAGGTCAGGGAATACCAAGCCACGTTTGCCTCTAGAGCAATAGGCTGTAGAGCCCTGTGTTAAGTGTGAAGTATTTATTGAAAAATCATGTGTAAAAATTCAAGTAATGGGACATACAAAAAGAAAACTGAGCATTTTAAAAGGAAATTCTGTATTGAACTACATCTAAAATTCAGCTGCTTGCAGAATACACCCTTTTGTATTTGGGTTTGTGGGAGTAAAAACGTGCTTGTCCATGATTTATCTTCAGAGCCCTTTTTTGGCAAAAAATATTGCACAAGTACCAAATACTGCAAGCTAACATATTGCATCTTTTTTTTTTTTTTTGGTCAGCTCCTGGGTTACAGTGAAAAGCCGGTAAACCTACAGATGTTCATTGGGACAGCAGATGACCGTTATTTAAGACCGCATGCCTTCTACCAGGTGCACAGAATCACAGGGAAAACAGTGGCTACTGCTAGTCAAGAAATAATTATTACCAGCACAAAGGTCTTGGAAATTCCTCTGCTTCCGGAAAACAACATGTCAGCCAGGTATGTTGGAAGACTTTTCCATGGGAGTTGGTAAATTGTAGTCTAGATTTATCAGTTGCCAGGGGTCGAGGGTGAGTTACTGGGTGAGAGATCTCTTATGAAACATGCTATTCTCAGCTTCCTTTTAGGATCAGCTTCTCTTTGGTCTCTTCATTTCTAAAAAATATTCAAAATCCCTGCAAGAATGTTGAACTCCATTCCTAAATCTAAAACATACAAAGCCAACTCCCCCCCCCCCCCGGGGACTTTTTAAAAAAATTTTTTAAAAATGATGCTTTCATCTAGCAGTGCTTCAGATGCCACAAGGTATTATGGCTGTTACTACAGTTGAATTGACAACTTGACAAACTTCTGTTTGTGACAGGCACAGATGCAACTTGTTTGCTATGCCCACAAGTTACTCCCTTATTCCTTTTGTGAGTCGATCATCTTGGTTTGGGATCCTGTTGTGAAGCATCCTAGTTTGGGAAACCTTCCACAAAACTCCTAGCCAGATCTGAACACCTGAGCAAATAAGTTTTTGTTTCTTCCCCATAAGCTGATTAAACCAACTTAATCACAGTGATTCCCGCCACTCCACAAAAAAAGTGTACGTTTCTCCATTTGTAGTCAGGAATTCTTGAGTTTTAATGCAAAATGTTTACACATGTCATTGACCATGTACAGTTCAATATTTGCAGATCATTCGTAGCTATTTGGGATGCATTTTCATAGTGGGCCCTAGTGATTCACATGCTGTCATTTCTGCTCTAAGTCTGTGGTGTAGCAAGACTGCTTGCACACAGTGCTCAGTTTAATTTTACAAATTAAAAAAATGTACAATATGAAGGTGCTTTGATAGGGTTTTATTAGAGGCATGTTCTGCCACTTTGTAATGCTTGCATGCCGGAATAAGAGGAGTAGAGATGTAGAACTTCTGGAAAATTTGAGGCCATGAGTGAAACTAACATTGTTTTTGAAGAGCTGGAGAGAAGTGGAAATATATCCGATGCTTCTAAAGCCTCACCTTATTTGTCAGTTTTATCAACATAAAAGTGCATCACTTATAACTTGGGCTTGACATGTTCCTATCTGTCATGATCCTGTCTCTCCCCCAACCCAGTCCAGGAATGGAAAGGAGAAGGATCATTGACTGAGACAATGAGTTTTTACACAAAAACCCAGGAGAGATAGTCTCTCTTTGGACTTAAGACACATGCCACCAGAACCTTTCAACTATAGTCCCCCTTCCAGTGCAGAGCAAGGTTCAGACTCTTCACTGGCCTCTGGGGCTTATTCAAGAATACTCTTAGCAAGCAAGTAAGGTAGCACAATTTTGGCAAAGCAGTTCAGCAACAGGATTTAGCTTGGAGTCAACGGTACATCAATCAAACACAAGTTATAAACAGAATATAGTTTATTGAGCACAGAAAACTTACAAACAGACTAGAACAGAGTAGAAAATAATCAAGCTTATGGCCCTTGGCCCTCACAACTAACATTAAAGATATACATAGTTACCAGGGTAGTCCATAGTCAAGACAGTCCATTGGAATAAAGTCCACTAGGTCTCATCTTTGTCCAAGGTCCCAGCCATGTGCTAGAGAAATCCTTTGTTCTCTCCCAAAGAGCACGTGACGGAGATACTGCATTTCAGGGTATATCCAGGAGCAAGCAAGAGAAGTGAGTTCTGCTCTCTGTGTTAGCCAATTTGAACTCCAATCTCATTATGCCAGCTCTGGCCAGTTAGCCAACCACAATGAGACAGGTAGTTTCCAAATTTGGCGTTGCCATGGGGGTAGGTTGGGAGTAGCAGTCATCTTCTGCGCAGTAAGATGATACCAGCTCAACCCACCTTGGTCCTACCTGCACTTCTACATGCTTCACAGAGGCATCTGGTTTTATGGGGGCAATTTGAACAAATGGTCAAGCCATGTGGTGAGGCAAATACATTCCAAAGGGGAACATGAAACTTCTAGAAATCACACAAGGGGAGCATGAAACTCTAGGAATCAATTTTCCTTTACACTATCTGTTGCAGAGACATTTTCAGCTAAAATGCTCTGGAACACTCCCCTTACTCCCATATTTCAGTTTTCCCAGTGATGAGAGCTAGAAGGTTTCTTGAAAGACCCCCCCCCCCCCCTGTTTTATTTTTACCCCCCCCATATTTTTCTTGTTGTTGTTCAGTCGCACAGTCAAGTCCGACTCTTTTCGACCCCATGGACCAGATCACGCCAGGCCTTCCGGTCTTCCACCATCCTCTGAAGTTTGCTCAATTTCATGTTCGTCGCATCTATGACACTGTCTATCCATCTCATCTTTTGCCGTCCCCGTCTTCTTTGACCTTTAATCTTTCCCAGCATCAGGGTCTTCTCCAGTGAGTGTTCCCTTCTCATTTGGTGGCCAAAGTATTTGAGCTTCAGTTTCGTTATCTGGCCTTCCAGGGAACAGTCAGGGTTGATTTCTTTTAGAATTGACTGATTTGATCTTCTTGCAGTCCAAGGGACTCTCAAGAGTCTTCTCCAGCACCATAGTTCAAAAGAATCTAT